GAGCAGCTTTTCTCCACCACAGCCTTCTGCCACAACTCTTCTGCCTCACCACTGTGTACAACAACACAGTCAGCTGAGCAAGGCCTGAGACTTAAAATGAGGGGCAAAAAGAACCACTCCTTCTTTAGGTTTTCATCCTTGGGTATTTTGTCACAGAATTAGAATAGTGACTAACACATTCTCCGAACTTGTGAGAAAGGATTAATTCAGTGTCACACCAAGTGAAAGGGTTTAGAAAATTTAAAATTCCTAACATTGTTGAGTTTATATACCTAACAAACCTTGTCCCATGGAAAGAAAGAACTTTGAAAGTTGGAAGGAATGTTGTTCATAAGAAATTGAAAATAAAAATACAATTACCTTTGGAAAAAATGCTATTTTTGCTTAGTATATGTAAAAAACAGATGTTGTTAAAGTTATTTTAATGAGAAGAGATTTTTTTCCTTCTTGCTATTTTATATGTTTCAAGATGAGCTTGTAGTCTGCTGTATTTCTCCAACCTGTTATCAATTCACCAGTCAATGCAACACACATATCTTTTTACATTTTTATTTATTTTTTTATGTATTAGTACAGGGTTTACAAGGTCTCACTATGTAGACTGGGCTCACGGTGATTCTCCTGTTTTCAGTCTCCCAAGTGCTGGGATTATAAGTGTGCACCACCACACTCAGTCCCAATCACCATCTCAGTGCACCCTGGGGGCGGGGCCAGCACACAACACACATATTTTAAGAGTGCTCAAAGGTCTGGATGTTTCCATGTCATTTTAATCCTTGGAATATCAACTCCTTCTGAAAGGGCTTTCACAACCTGAGCAGAAGAAATAGGGTTTCATTCTCTTCCAAAAACAGTGCCCTACACAGCAGTGAGTGATACATACTCACAGTCCTTAACGCAGTACACTGCTGGAGCAGTCTTCTACCATGTTCAGTAAAACTCTGCTCTAGCCTCATCTGCTGCCCTATCATCTTGCCTACACCTCCAAAAGGCTGACTGTAGGAGACATCAGTGAGTGGGGGGGTCACACCAGCAACGGTGAGGATGAGAACCTCACATCTGAATGCTGAATGAATCCTTGACAGGCATGGTGGTTGCATACCTGACCTTTTCAAGACCTTCTAGTTCCCAAAGGAAAAGTACCGGAAGTCTCTTCACCCTGTATGACAAAAAACAGTCCACGGTGCTTTTCATGAAAACATAAACTACCAGACTGGGAGTGGTGGCATGTCCCTGTAATCCCAGCGCTTGGGAGGCTGAAAATAGGAGGATCACTACGAGTCTGATCTGTGTAGGGAGACCCTGTAAGCACTGTTCTAAAATACATTTCTAAAAAAAGAGGGACTGACTGACAGGAGGGACTGGAGGGAACAAGATGTCGCAGACTCAGAGCACCAGGAGGAAAGCCTGTCACTACTACAACAGGGATAGTGGGAATTACTATTATGGACAAGGCCATCCAATGAAGCCTCACCGAATCCCATGATTCACAATCTGCTGCTCAATTCTGGCCTCTACCGAAAGATGGAAATGTATTGCCCTTACAAGGCCAATGCTGAGGAGATGACCAACTATCCCAGCAATGACCACATTAAGTTCTTGTGCTCCATCCATCCAGATAATACATAGGAGTACAGCAAGCAGATGCAGAGATTCAACATTGGTGAGGACTGTCCAGTATTTGGTGACCTATTTGAGTTCTGTCAGTTGTCCACTGGTGGCTCTGTAGCAAGTGCTGTGAAACTTACTAAGCAGCAGATGGACATCGCTGTAAATTGGGCTGGGGGCCTGCACCATGCAAAGAAGTCTGACATATCTGGCTTCTGTTATGTCAGTGACATCATGTTGGCCATCCTGGACCTGCTAAAGTATCACCAGAGAGTACTGTATGTTGACATTGATAGTCACCATGACAATGGCGTGGAAGAGGCCTTCTATACCACAGACCGGGTCTTGACTGTGTCTTTTCATAAATATGGAGAGTACTTCCCAGGAACCAGGGACCTATGGGATATTGGGGCTGGCAAAAGCAAGTATTATGCTGTTAACTACCCACTCCGAGATGGGATTGATGATGAATCCAACGAGGTCATTTTCAAGCCAATCATGTCCAAAGTAGTGGAGATGTTTCAGCCTAGTACAGTGGTCTTACAGTGTGGCTCAGACTCCCTCTGGAGAACAGCTGGATTGTTTTAATCTAACTATCAAAGGGCATTCCAAGTGTGTAGAATTTGTCAAAAGCTTCAACCTGCCTATGCAGATGCTGGGAGGAGGTAGTTACACCATTCGTAATGTTTCCTGGTGCTGGGCATACAAAACAGCTGTGGCCCTAGACACAGAGATCCCTAATGCACTCCCATACAATGACTACTTCAAATACTTTGGACCAGATTTCAAGCTTCACATCAGTCCTTCCAATATGACTAACCAGAACACTAATGAGTACCTGGAGAAGATCAAACAGCGGTTCTTTGAGAACCTGAGAATGCTGCCCCATGCACCTGGGGTCCAAATGCTGTCAACTCCTGAGGATGCCATTCCCAAGGAGAGTGGTGATAGGGATGAAGAAGACCCTGACAAGCATACCTCAATCTGTTCTTCTGACAAGCACATTGCCTGTGAGGAAGAGTTCTCTGACTCAGATGAGGAAGGTGAAGGTGGCCGTAAGAACTCTTCCAACTTCAAGAAAACCAAAAGAGTCAAACAGAAGATGAGAAAGAGAAATAACCAGAAGGGAAGAAAGAGGTTACAGAAGAGATGACCAAGGAGGAGAAACCAGAAGCCAAAGGGGTCAAAGAGGAGGTCCAGATGGCCTAAGCAGCCCTCTCCAGCTCAGGCTTCTTGCCATGTTCCTTATTTTTTTACCTTTAACCCCTCAGATTTTAAAATATATTAAATATAAATGTCCCCTGGAGGGCCGGCAAAATAGCTCAGTAGATTGAAGCACTTGCAAGCAGGAGCAGGGGCCGGGGGTTCAATCCCTGGGCCTGCTGTGCTGCCCCCCCCCCGGGGGCATGCTGAGATGACAGTTGAGACTGGGCATGGTGGCACATGCCTGTAATCCCAGCTCTTGGGAGGCTGTAAACAGGTGGATCACTATGAGTCCGATCTAGTAGTGAGACCCTGAACACCCTGTAGACCCTTCCCTAAAAATTAAAATAAAATAAAATAAATGTCCCCAGGGACTAGAGAGGAGCCAGGGCCCTTGAGTGCAGGGTAGCTATGCTGGGGGAACTTTTCCAGCAGTGATCACGCTCCTCACCCCTCCTCAAGTCTTAGTTTTAAGTCATAAAAGTACAGATCTGGATGGAAGCGATGCAGCCGTAAGACGAAATCCTGACGTGCCGAGGGCCTGTTTAGTGTTAAGTGTTCTGGAAGGGTGGCTGCAGCTCCAGGGCCCCTGTTCCTTGGGCTCCTATGGTAACATCTGCCATTTTTAGACTGGTTCTTTTCTCAGACCTTCACGCTGGCTCCAAATGAGCTCAGCAGCTCACACCACCGTGTCTCCCCAGCTCTGCAGGTGGACATTGGTGATCTAGCTTCCTTTTTTTTTTTCCTGAAAAACTTTCATTTTTTGTAAGACTGTTTCTAAGAAAATGGTACATTTCTTTAAAAAAAGAAAAAGAAAACATAAACTACCTAGTCATTCCTTTGGCGAGCCTCATTAGAAGGACTGTAGTGAAGCTCGGGAGTTTGGATATTTTGCAAGTACCCTAGATAATAGCTGTCATCAGGAGAATATAGCAAGTACTGGTTTATAAATTTGATAGACCCAACTTCACACCTCAGCTCTGAGGTTTTCTCTGGGTGTGGTAGATCAGAACCAGGTCGAATTAATTTCCCAGAGCTGTGAGCATCTCTTTCATCCTAGTGTACAGTTACCGTGGAAATGATGGCAAGTCATTTTGGTAAATGTTAGGAAGAAGATTCATAGTAAACACTTGCAAAAATATTGCACTCTTCTTCCTAATGGCAAAAGGGTTTCCTTTTTATTTAAAA